ACAGCTGGGAATAAATGGAAGATCTCACAAATAGCAGTTATTTTCTTTTGCATCAGCTGCTGGGTCAGTGGACTACTTTCCACAGCTGCGAGCCCATTTCTAGAGCACACCATGGTATTGTTTTAGAGAAACACCACTGGCAAGTCAGACCCAGTAACTCAGCCAAGGATCAGCAAAAAATCAAACCCAGTTATGTGCTTGGAAGAGAGAGCACGCTTTCAATTCACTGATCCTTCTTCACCATGCTGGAGGCTGATGAGTGCAAGAGAGACTTTTCTTTAAAATGCACCAAGGCAGTAGGAAAGATGGGGTTGAAGTGTGGCAGGCTGGATCGTTCCTGGGGCTGGGCACAAGACAGTGTGTATCCTCATTCATATATAGCAGGGGAGATGACAAAGTGCAGCTCTGCAATTGCAGCTCTGCAATTGTTTTAATAAATTAAAGGTGTTTTATCCAATACATTGATCATCATGATCAACATCCTGCTCTGATCTTGGCTCCACTTCTTTACAAAGTCAGGGATATAACATAGACATGCTTCTAAACACAGCCACTCTTAACATGCAGTGTAGCTTTACTTCCTTATCTGTGGGATGCTGTCCAGAAGCAAAGACACAAGTCTGAGACTCTGCTCTTGAGTCAACCAGTACCTTATGACTGAAGACTCTTTGTCCTGACATCACCATGCCATAAGCCCCTCCCTGCAGTAGCCTGTTGCCTTCAACCTGCACACAATTATCACCAGGCTGCTTCACCTGAGCTAGGCAAGTAAAACTGCTTTTAACAGCTCTGCATTTCGGGTTGCTAGGATTTTTAAGACTAAAGGTCAAATCTTTGCAGCCGTTCAGTGCTAGTGGACTGACTGCAAGTTGCAAATAGTGCCAAAGCTGAAGGCCAACCATCTTAAGAATATTATTTTGAGTAAAGACATTCTCCAAGCCAAAGGCCTTTTTCCAATGTGGAGAATAATAAGGGAGGGTCTGGAGGAAGGAGGTTACTACTACAGGTAATAGAAAAATCATGTTGACAGGAGAACTGCAGTACAGAGATGCTTGAATGCCTTGGGAGGAGTGAGCACAAGTCTAGCCTGGCCAGGGCTAAGGCAGAGGTAACAAGTGCAGCTGTAGCCAAGTCTGCTGTGTGCAAAGTCACTTGGGTGCCTATATATCCTACTCATCACAGTTTTGGGTGAGAAAGAGCTCAGGCACATAGTCGTCAAGTCCCACCTTGATCTGTGCACCCCTGCACAACAGCAGCTGTACGGTCTCTGGTGCAAACCCGTCCTGAGAGCAGCACAGCTGCATATCCTCTGTACAGCCCTGCAAGAGCCTCACTGTCCTTACGTGGAGCCAGGTGAACTGTCCCTCCATCGCTGACATGGTCAACCTGAAATCAGGACAAAGCATGCGGAGAACAGACAGCTGTCCAGTCTTGTGGACAGTGCATGCTTGAGAACTGTGTGTTCTAATTCTGGCTCTGCTAAAAGTCACAGTGTGAATTTGGGCAACTTATTGAGCTTATCTCTTTCCCAGGTTCCCATTTATAAAAAGACATTCAATGCTCCTTCTTCTTCTTCTCCTTCTCTGTCCCCAAGCTACTCAGGATATACACCACCTTGGGCAGCATTCACTTCTCACTTTAGCCAGCAATGAGTCAGGTAGTCTAAACTAGGTGTGTAGGCTCTCTCTCTAGGTACTGAATAGAGACACGACACCCCCAGAGATGATTCACCACTTCCTAAGATCAGCTGTATGAACCACCATCTGGAGATGTTGACCTCTCTGTAAGGACATCTCAATTTCCAGCTTCAGTGGTGAGTGAAAACTGAGATGCCAAATGGAAGCAGGCTCATGTGTTTTTCTCACACTTTAAAAATGCTAAGGAAAGCCAAAGGATTACTTCCCTTGTTGTTGGCACAACAAAAGCAAGATGGCTTGAGGCAGCAGATAGACTCCCCCTTCTCTGGGCGCTACCAAAGCTCCCTCCCTCCTAATCACTGCTGTCTGTTGAACATTCAAGCCACTGAGACAGAGCTATCGGCTGTTATGTTGTTGGGGCAAAGAGCTAGTTCATCTGAAAGTACTAAGCCACTTAATGCTCCTGTCAATTATCCTGGCTATAAAGAAGACCCTGACCCCCGTCAGCTACATTACTGAGGGAAATCCAACTATCACGTGCCTACAGAGATCTAACGGCTGGCTGGCATGAACATCTGCTTATCCCCATTCTTTTGCTGACTGCTATCTGAAGGCTCAACTATGTGTTGCAGCCCTATGCTAAAGAAAGACCCTAACTGATACAAGCCTTGCTTTATGATAGAGAAGGGGCAACTGCTGGCCTATCTCTGTCATTGTGATGAACCGATGGCACCAAGGTGGTTTGATGTGCAATGACAGCAGTGAGAATAGAGGCAGCAAGAGCTTTTGTGTAGTTATTCTCCTGTGAACCTGCTCCTCCTGCGGGGCAGTTAACCCATCAGGCACTGCACAAAACAAAAGCCTGATCCGAAAAAGAAATTGCGAGTGTCAACAACCCCATTCCTGTGGGATCCTCCAAGGCACTTGAGCCTTAGAGGACATATAGCTGCCTCCCTTGGGAGGCAATCCTGAAGGGCAAAGGAGTCCAGGAAGGCTGGACATTCTTCAAGAGGGAAATCTTAAAGGTGCAGGAGCAGGCTGTCCCGATGTGCCAAAAGACGAGCCGGCGGTGAAGAAGATCAGCCTGGCTGAACAGAGAGCTTTGGCTGGAACTCAGGAAAAAAAGGAGAGTTTATGACCTTTGGAAGAAGGGGCAGGCAACTCAGGAGGACTACAAGGATGTCGTGAGGTTATGCAGGGAGAAAATCAGAAGGGCCAAAGCCCAACCAGGACTTAATCTGGCTACTGCCGTAAAAGACAATAAAAAATGTTTCTATAAATACATTGGCAAGAAAAGGAGGGCTAAGGAGAATCTCCATCCTTTATTGGATATGGGGGGAAACATAGTGTCAAAGGGTGAGGAAAAGGGTGGGGTACTTAATACCTTCTTTGCCCCAGCCTTTAATAGTAAAACCAGTTGTTCTCCAGGTACCCAGTCCACTGAGCTGGAAGACAGGGATGGGGAGCAGAATGAAGCCCCCATAATCCAAGAGGAAATGGTTACCAACCTGCTACACCACTTAGACACACACAAGTCTACGGGGCCGGATGGGATCCAGCCAAGGGTGCCAAGGGAGCTGGCGGAAGTGCTCACCAAGCCACTTTCAATCCTTTATCAGCAATCCTGGCTAACTGGGGAAGTTCCAGCTGACTGGAGGTTAGCAAATGTGACATGCATCTACAAGAAGGGCAGGAAGGAGGATCTGGGGAACTACAGAGCTGTCAGTCTGACCTGGGTACCAGGGAAGATTATGGAGCAGATCATC